ATTCAGTCATAACATCATCCCATGCATTTCAAAGCTTTCATAAGAGTAAGTACAGGAGATATGAAAAATGAAGGAAGTAAATATAAAATGGGTGGAAAATGAGATGTTATTGTGTTCAGCCTGATCTCAAAACATCTCTGAAAGAATAGAAACATCTTGCCAATCCAGCTATTTCTTCTTGTCTTCTCTCCCTGAGGTCAGTGGTGTGAGTAAGTTTGGGGCTAGTTCTGAGATGGATCCTTTCTTAGAAAAAGTGAAGAGACTTTTCATAAAGGGGAAAATTATGGCCAGGATGTAGCATTTCTTTATTTTGTGTTTTAGGTACAAATATTTTGAACAGGCATTTGTCCTTTTGAATTCCTTATATTACATTTCTTTCTTTTCCTCTTCTGCTTTCTGAAATAACACTCATTCAAAGGTCAGAGTAGAAGTGAGGGAGAGAGATAGAGAGAAAAAGTGTGCGTACATGTGTGTGTGTGTGTCCGTGTGAGTGTGTGTGTGTGTGAGAGAGAGAGAAAGAGAGAGAGAGAGAAAAAGATATAGATTCAGAGAAAGACCGAACACACAGCAACTGTGAAAAACAGAAAGAGAGGGGGAGAGAGAGAGAGAGAGAAAGAGTTAGAGAGAGAGGGAGAGAAATACGAACAATGCAGTGACATAAAGAGAACATTTCATTAAATATTACAAAGTGACCTTGAAATCTTTGGTCTAGTATATTAGCTAACAGAAAAAAGCAAAGATAAAGCCATGACAAGAGATGACAAAATGGCATTGGATTTTGGATCTAGGAAATTCTCTGGGGGAAAAATGAGACCTATTCAATGGAAGAGAGATCAATGCATTTGAACCTGACCACCCTGTTAGTTCATCATTACCCTCTCTTTCTTGGTACTGATCTTTGGGAGTGTAAATGCCAAAGTGTTCAAAATGAGAGACAAGGTCGAGGGTCCCCAAGGAAAAGGGAAAGAGTGACTGTTCAGAGATAGATATCTTACTTACGTTCAGGTTCTCCAGGTTGTTGGCTTGGGGCTTCTGTGCATAGAGAAAATAAAAAGAGATGAGTAATGTAGGCCAAGAGTCCTATGAATCTCAAGAGGTTTCAGTTGTGGATAAGGGCTATATATGATCAAGGGCCCCAGTGGTATTCTATCAGGAACACAAGAATCTACTTAGCCAGAGGTCCATATTCAGTCATAACATCATCCCATGCATTTCAAAGCTTTCATAACAGTAAGTACAGGAGATATGAAAAATGAAGAAAGTAAATATAAAATGGGTAGAAAATGAGATGTTATTGTGTTCAGCCTGATCTCAAAACATCTCTGAAAGAATAGAAACATCTTGCCAATCCAGCTATTTCTTCTTGTCTTCTCTCCCTGAGGTCAGTGGTGTGAGTAGGTGTGAGGCTAGTTTTGAGATGGATCCTTTCTTAGAAAAAGTGAAGAGACTTTGCATAAAGGGGAAAATTATGGCCAGGATGTAGCATTTCTTTATTATATGTGTTAGGTACAAATATTTTGAATAGGCATTTGTCCTTTTGAATTCATAACATTACATTTCTTTTCCTCTTCTGCTTTCTGAAATAACACTCTTTCAAACGTCAGAGTACAAGGGAAGGAGAGAGATAGAGAGAAAAAGTGTGTGTGTGTGTGTGTGTATGTGTGTGTGTGCGTGAAAGACAGAGAGAGAGAGAGAGAGAAAGAGAGACAGAAAGAGACATAAAGATATAGATTCAGAGAAAGACCGAACACAGAGGGACTGTGAAATACAGAGACAGAGAGAGACAGAGAGAGAGAGAGAGAGAGAAAAACGAACAGTGCAGAGACATAAAGAGAACATTTCATTAAATATTACAGAGTGATCTTGAAATCTTTGATGTAGTATATTAGCTAACAGAAAAAAGCAAAGATAATGCCA